GCACCTGTGCAGGCCTGGTGACTGGCAGCTCAGCCTCCCCCTTTCTGCCACTAGGGGTCTCCCCAGAGCAGTCTCCGCTCTCAGGCACAGGGCACCTGAGTGCACTGCGACAGTCTCCAGTCGTCCACCCTGGTCGCCAACATCAGCTTGCAGGGACGTGTAGCTTTCCTTAACATAGAGAGCTACACCCCTCCCCCTCTTATCTACATGATCCCTCCTGTACAGGGTATAGCCATCTATACCCACGGTCCAGTCATGGGTGAAGTCCCACCAGGTCTCCGTTATCCCTATGACGTCATAATTTTTTGCGTTAAGCAGGAGGACGAGTTCCTCCTGGTTATTCCCCAAGCTCCTGGCATTTGTGTACAGGCAGGCGAGTGTCCCCTTGGGGGCTCTTGCCTTGCCCACAGATTGTACCAGGACTGGGGCAGGGGTGAGCTCCCTTAAGCGCCTTGGCCTGCTGGCTTTTTGCAAGGGTTGCTCGGTGGGCCAGCAGTGGCGGTAGTCCCCCTGTCCCCCAGCAGGCTTAGTTTAAAGCCTGGTGGAGCAGGTCAGCCATCTGGCTGAGAAGAGCCTCCTCCCCAGGGGAGAGAGGTAGAGGCCATCTCTTCCCAGCAGCTCGCTGCCTCTCTTGCCAAAGAGCGGGCTGTGGTCATGGAAGCCAAAGCCTTCCCGATGACACCAGTGCCGCAGTCTTTGGTTCACTATGTGGATCCTCCTCTCCCTCCTCAGCCCATACCCCAAGACTGGGAGGATCGAAGAGAACATCACCTGTGCCCCCAGTCCCTTTAGCCCTGCACCCAAATCCCTGTAGTGCCTCATGACCCGGCCAATTACAAGATTTTTGCAAAAAAAAAAAAAAAGAGAAAAAAAAAAGGCTTTAATCAGGTACAAACACGCTTCAACAGGCATTGGAGAAAAGATTGTAAAAGTTCTCCTGGGTACCTTTGCAGAGGCTTTTAGGAGTGATGGGTGTATTAAGGCAGATGTTGATGCTGCATGAGAGAGAAGCAAGGGAAAACTAGCAGTCTTTCAAAATACCTTTTTTTTGCTATTTCAGGGACCTGCTAAACCGGGAAGATGCGTGAGTACACTGAGAAGAAGGAGACATGTGGGACCATCTGTCTCAAGTATTTGCTCTTCATCTTCAACTTCTTCTTCTGGGTAAGATGCCTGTTCACTCTGTCTATCCGCTTGTGTGCCTCCCACTTTACTGGGTGCCTCCATTGTTTCAGTGGCAAAGGTAGCAAGATTTATAGCACGTGGGAATTCCTAGCTCCAGCAATGTCACTAGCGTCACTTGCTGACTTCAGTGAGGCCAGGGTTTCACCATACATGTCTGACTAGACACATCATGGTGAAGTTAGGGGAAGATTGTAACCTATCTGGCCATCAGTAGGCCCTGAAACAATTGGGTATGGACAATTCAGTGGCCTGAAAAGCCACTGCTCACCCAGTTGAGCAAGTGACTATTCTGGAGATATCTCCTCCAGGAGCACCTGTGGCCAAGCAGCTCAGTCACATCAATAGAAGGGCATCTCAAATGCTGATAGTAGAATGAAGATGGCTAGGTCAGGAAAATTGGGGTACTCCTTGTGACTGTTTCTAAACTAAAGTTTTCCTTCTTGAGTTAATTGATGGCCAGGACATTGGCCTAGAGGTAATCTATAAATGTTTGTTGGCTGGAACAAACAATTTGAGTGTCCATACAAAGGAATTAAGTAGCTGAAGTTAATTCCTGTATTGTCATATTTCTGTGCTCATTAGGCCTGTGCGAGTCAGCAGCGATCTAATCTGGCTTCAGATCCGGCCGCTTTGGGTGGCCACAGTCTGATCCGGAGCTCTGGACTGGGTTTCTGTCTCGATCCTGCCGAAGCAGCTCTGAAGCTTTGGAGCCGTCTTGAGGATTTGGCCATAGGGTATAATGGGGGAATCAATGAAATATCTATAACTTTGTTGTTTTTTGTCTGATTTGGATGAAACTTGCAGGGATGGTACCTCTGCTGAGAGCATGAAACCTGCCAAGTTTCAAGAAGATCAGTGCAGGGGTTTGGGGGGAACTGTACCCCAAAATCTTGAAAGCAAAGGTCCTGTCACGTCTATATGTTACAACACAGGGGGGTGAAAACTGCAGGGCTGGTAGCTCTTAAGGAGGCCACAAAGCTTGCCAAGTTTCAAGAAGATCGGTGCAGGGGCTTGGAGGGAACTGCACCTCAAGCTGCAGACAAGCAAAACTCATTCCATGGGTGACCCTGCGTGTGTTCAGGCGCAGCGGGGTGACAGCTGCAGGGTTGGTGGCCCCTGCTGTGATGCCTGCCAGCTGTGGAGGAGATCGGTGCAGGGGGGTTCTGGGGCCCTGCACCCCTGGCTGCTGATGGACAAAACTTGTGCCAAAACTGTGTCAGTCTTGGGGCAGTTGATTGTCTGTATTGAGTCTTTCCTCTCCTTAGCCTGGTTTTGTGGGTGCTAATTGATGCTTCTTAAGCTGTTATGTAGTAGCTAGGTCCTGTGATGATTGATTGATTGGTAACTGATAACACAGCAGCTTAGCAGCCAGGCCTGCAGCAGTGTCGTGTCCCCCCCCTCAAGAGACACAGTCAGTCCCACAGCATGAGTTCTGCTTGTCCGCTGCTTGAGGGGCAGTTCCCCCCAAACCCCTGCACCGATATTCTTGAAACTTGGCAGGCTTTGTGGTCTCAGCACAGGCTATCACTCCTGCATTTTTTATCTCACTATGTTGTAACGCCTAGACCTGACATGAGTTTTGCTTTCAAGAATTTGGGGTGCTGTTCTCCCCAGACCTCTGTACTGATCTTGAAACTTGGCAGGCTTCATTCTCTTTGCAGAGTCTACCACTCCTGAAAATTTCATCCAACTCGGACAAAAAACAACAAAGTTATAGGTATTTTATTGTTTCCCCATTATACCCTATGGCCGGATCTCCGAGGCAGCTCTGAAGCTCTTCGGGAAGCTGAATGAGGCAGTGCTTCGACTCAGACATGCTGCTTCGGACCTCGAAGCATTCGAAGCTTCTCTGGATCCGAACCTCTGTCCGAAGCCTCACACAGCCATAGTGCTTGTGTCCAGTCTGAATTCCCGCTTCTGATGATCTTTCCTTTTTTCACTGTTGCCTGGTCTAGGAGGGAAGGAACTAGGCACCGTTGCCATTTAGAAGTAGTTGGGATTACTCCTTGATCAGCCAGCAGGGGTGTAAAGCTCTGCTGCTTCATACCCTGCTTAGCTGGATGTTTTTTTGAATCCCCATGCAAAAGCCAGGTTAAGTTTGGAAAGGCATAACACAATGCATACGTGGTAGACAGATTCCCCAGCTAGTGATATCCTTTTCCAGTTTGAACACTAAGCTCAGACTCTGTCGGCTTCCTTACCCAGGACCTGGGGAAGAGAGAAAGAGTCTGCTCATTTAGGACCTGGTCCAACTCTGCTTGAAATCTGCCAGGAGCCTTTATGTTGACTTAAATAAGCCCTTAGTGAGGTGAGGTCTACTGCATGTTCTTGAGAAGGAGGAAGCCCTACCTCAGATGCATCTCACCTGCTTGCCTCCTTTTTGTGAAGCTGGCAGGCGGTGCTGTGATGGCAGTGGGAATCTGGACCCTGGCAGAAAAGAGTGACTACATCAGCCTGCTGTCCTCCAACACGTATATGGCCACCGCCTACATCCTGGTAGTGGCTGGAGTTGTTGTCATGGTTACTGGTATCCTTGGTTGCTGTGCCACTTTCAAAGAGCGGCGAAACTTGCTGAGAGTGGTAGGTTTTCTCCTTTCCCTTGGGCAATGCCGGGCGCGGAGCCTCTTGTTTGTGTTTTTTGACTGCCTTTGGGGTCCTTGTGAAGAAGTATTCCAGTTATTCCTGACACCACCGGCACTATTGCCTTCCCTCTCTAGGGGGGGGTCGCCACATTCACAGAACTGACTTTCCTTCTACTCTGTCATATGCAGAGAACATGTTTATTGTAGCATGATTGTTGTTGTTGTCATATCCTATTATAATACAGGTTTCCCTCGCTTTATGCTGTACATGCATTCATGGAAAACGGCACATAACTCGAATGTGCATAAAGGGAACACAATGTAATAAATAGGGATACGTTCCAAGACTGTGAGTGTAGTCACCCCGAAACCCATTTCTACAACTTTCACAAGACAATTTTGGTACTCACCAACAGCAGACAATACCCACAAGCACAGGGTTGTGGTGAACGTTACCGTAATGGGGATGACAACTACAGAAACACATGTCGCAGACAACTAGCGAGGAGCACAGATCCATACGGGAGACTGTATTTTGGTGCAGGTCACTCCCACAACGCACGGCACAGAGCAGCTGACTGCGGGCTTCCACCACACCGATTGCATAAGAGTGAATTTACTTTGCATATAACAAATTTTTGGTATAAAAAAGGTCATCGCATAAGAGCAAATTCGCATATACAGACCCTGCATAAAGCAAGGGAAACCTGTATTTTCATGGGCCTTCTAAATATTTTTGGAACAAAGGAGGAATCCCTGGGATGGTCAAAAAATGGGATTTTATTTTGCCCCTGAAGGTTTCCAATTTTTTTATCAAATTGTTAAAAGCAAACATTCTCTCTCTTTTTTTTGTTTTTTAATTTACCCCTCACCCACTAGTAAAGAGAGAAATCTGATCCCACACTCTCCAAACCAAAATGAAAACAATTTGTTTTTGGTTTGGCAACCATCAGAACAATTTTCAACTGGCACTTTTTATTTTTGCCCTCTTTTTTTTTTAATTCACAAAAAAACCCCAACGATAACAACAACAAAAACTCTCCCCTCCCTTCAGTTTGTCAAACTGAAACACTTTTCAGTGTTTTGCAGTTTTTTATTTGCTAATCAGCAGTAATCTAATTCTCTCTCCCTCCTCAAATACGTTTGGAGTGTGGCAGCATTTCTTTAAGTACCCCAGCTGCAGCGGCAAGTGCAGTGAGTGAAATAACAATTAATGGCCTTTTGCTTTCAGAGTGACAAAGAGGAACTCTTCAGCTGTGTCTCAGACAGTCCTTCAGCTTTGCAAACTGCTGCTGGTCCGATTGTCTCCTCTCCGTGCCTTTGTCCTTGTGAAGTGGAGAGCTGGAGGGGGAGAAATGGACAGTGAGCAATGCAGACTGACGTACTCATACTCACTTGGTAACCTGAGAGACCTCATGGGAAGTGGAGTGGGAGCGAGGACGAAAATGAGGAAGCAGAGAAAATTGCTGCCACAGAGCACGCTGAGCCCTTTCTTAGTTGAGATGCACTTGGTGCTGGCCCTTGCACTTGGCTCTGTAGTAGGCAGTATTTGGTTCCTGGGTCTTAGCAGTTCATTTTGGCACTAAGCACAATTACTCACTATGCTAAAGAGCTCTCCCGTTGTGTCTTTTTCTCCATCAGAAGTTACATGCAGAAATCGGGTGGGTTTTCTTTGTTACATTCTGCCACAGAAAACTAATAATTGTCCCATGGGAACAAAAGGTCATTCTCTGTCTTTTCTTTCCCTGCTTGGAGTGGCTGGCTGTGACAGATCTATTGTCTTTCTTAGTTTGGACTCTGGTTTAGTTGGTATTAAGTAATCCACACAAGACATACATTTGTGCTTAGCAGGGCTGAATTGGTCTGCTTGGGAGCCCTTGCCAGATTTTAGCTCAGCCAGTAATCCTGACAGTCTCACAACAAATGCCAGTGTGTCTGTGCCAGCCTGTCCCAGTTTCTCTCTGTGTCAGAGAGAGGGACACGCCATAATGGGGGGGATTGGCATAGAATGTCCTGGGACTTTTCACATTTCAGATCAGGATATATGTGCATGTGTTTGGGTTTGATTCTTCAGAAAAATTATAGTTTTACATGCTTTTGAGCTTTAGCTATAGCTTCAGGTGGTAATTTTCAACCAAGGGGCCACAGTCCCCTGGGGTACCATGAAATTCTTTTACGGGGCTGTGGAGTGCTGCATGATATTAGCACTGTTAAGTGTGCAAACACGTACACACATGATTCACAAGATAGACCCAGAGATTTTAAATAGGAATCCAGACTGCCAAGGTCATTTTGACCTATTGTGGTCTTTCTGAGTTGGCAACAAAAGGATAGTTCTGCTGTGGGGTTTTTTTTAGTTAAAAAAAAAAAAACAGGCAAAGGCTAAGAGATGGCACTTCTGGAGCGGTGCCTTGAGTCTCATGAGAAGTAAGGAAGGGTCCTTGTGTCTAAAGTTTGAGAACTAGCTTCAGGCTGTCCACTCTTTCATTTCCTGTCACCCATCACCATGATATTTCTGTGCCAGCTGTATTTTCCCTTCTCACATGCCTCCTTTCCAGCCCAAATTACTCAGTGAGGCCACAGGCTCTTGCAATTTCATAACCTTACGTGAAGCTGTGCTTCTACAATCAGGATTAGGCCCATCATGTCACTAGGCCTGGATTGTTATTCACGGTGATTCAAAGTTTTGTCTGCTCCCCACTCCCCTCTCCTTCCCTCCCTCCCCGCTCAGATTTTAGACTAGTTTGGTCCCTAGCAGAAGCCAGAGCAGCCCAAAGGCCTGTTTGAACTATAAGTTCAAAAGCAGAAGCCTTAGCACATCTGATTGAGAGAATTTTCTAATAATCAAGAATAGCAGACCACGGGGGTAACTCTAGTCAGACCTTTGCCTTGTAACATGCCCCTGTGCTACAGGCTACGAAAGGAGGGGGTGATGTAGTGTTGCCCGCCGGCAATCCCTCCTTGTTCCAGGGAAACTGGATAAGTCATCTTTTTGTCACTGTTTACATTGCTGTAAAGGTTTACGGCAAGAGACTTCTACCTGAGACTCAGGGACTTGATCTGTATTTTGCCACTGATGTGCATGGATCTTTACAAGCCCATAAAGTAGCTGTAGGTCTTATGGTGACCCTGAGACACATGCAGAGCAACCCATAAAACCAGAAATCCCTAGAACAGTGGCTCACAGCCTTTTTTTTTTTTGTACACATCCATGGCAGGTCCTAACGCAGTGCCCCTCACTCCCAACTCGCTGCCCCCTGCACCCAGGCCCCAGTGTTTGGGACAGGTGTGTGTGTGTGTGTGGAGGGGGGGACAGGATGTTCAAGCAGCGCTTCACAGGCTGGACTCTGCCAGCCTGCAAGGGAAAAGCCACTGTTTTTCTCCTTTAAAGGAGAATCCATTTTTAAAGTTTGTTCACAACCCTTTCATATATTCTTGCAACCCACTTTTGGGTCACGACCCACAGGTTGAGAAACGCTGCCCTAGAAGACATCTCTTGGCCAGTAGAGCTGAGTATAAAGACCAGGTCTGTTTTTTTCCAGCCCCAGACAGTCCTTGGATACTTACCTGGGAGAAGAGAGGTCAAGAAAGTAGTTTAGCCTTATTTATCTTACAACAGCATTGCAAGGTTATGATCAGGCCCAGGTTCTCATTGTGCAACGTACTGTACACACACCACGTAAAAGGAGAGGTGCTGCTCCTTTTTCAAAGTAGACGAGACGTAACAGATGCATGAAAGAAACAAGCAGACAGCGTACCAGGGTGAAGATGGAATAGCAATAACAACCAGATGCATTAGGATAGATGAGCTGACCACACAGGCAGTAGATGTACTGACTTGTGTTTTTCTGAGGCCTTGTCATCCATAGCCTTCTCTAGGATTTCCTGCTACAGCTCTTCAGCGTGTGCTAATGAACTGAGATGCTGTGGCACATGCCAGATCCACCTCAATGCTTTTGACACGAGCACTAAAAATATCCCATGTGGAGAAAATAGATGAAGGAAAGAGAAACTTTCCAGTTCATTGGTTGTTTTTTCCCCTCTCGGCAAGATGATGTCAGAGAAGCATTGCATAACTGGGCTTCGACGAAAGAAAGGACCCCTTTGTTTGGGTGGGTTGCTTTCCTGTCATGCCCCTTTTAGCCTCCTGTTAACATGGAGCCCAGCCTTTCCTTATCCAGCTCTCCATCGGGTGACTCATTCCCGTGGCATGAATGGGTACCTTGTACAAGCATGTGCAGATGCCTCGCAGTGTTCAGCTGAGAGCTGCTCCGGGGAGAGTACGGGTCTGGGAGTGAATGTTTGAAATTGTATGCTCAGATTAAAGCCTGGCCTGCCAATGAAACCCAACTGTCCCTCCCGTGCAGCTGCTGAACCCCAGCACAGGGTGACAGGGGAAATCTGATCTGATAGAAACAAGTGGGTGTGCATGTCAGCAGTATTTTACTAGTGCCAAAGGGTGCTTGTTACCTGTGTCTTCCAGGCAGAGAGGCAGCCTGCTAGGAAGTGGAGATTTCCTTTAGCCAAAGTGTTTATAAAAACCTTGGGAACCTGGTGAGGCAGAATTTTATTTAAAAAAAAAAAAAAAAGTTTTATGCACTAGCCACACTCTGAGATTTCATTACTGTTGCTCTCACTTTTCCTTCCTCCTCTGCTTTCAAACATACTGTATAAAACTCGTTGATGCTGCTTATCTTGAGTGGTGTTTGTAACATTTTGTCAGAGCTTAATCTGATATGATCCCAATCCCCAGGAAATCCTTTGAGAACAACTGCAATAAAGAAATAATAATGACACATGTTGGCCCCTTTTTTGCCTTATAACTCTGAAGGGAGCTTCTAGGACCTCCCTTCCAGTGTCCTGCTCTGACAGGTGATGTTTCACCCTTGTTTTGCAGTACTTCATATTGCTGCTGTGCATTTTCTTGCTTGAGATCATTGCTGGAATCCTGGCTTATATCTACTACCAGCAGGTAAGTGCAAATTAAACCAAAAGGCTCAAACCAGAGAGAGAGAGGGAGCTGCTAGTTATCACCTGTTTTGAGAGTAGGGCCATGGCACAGATGCCAGGGGTTTGGGATCTAGGTTTTGTTTGGAGCCCCATGTCTTTTCAGACCCATGTTTCACTGAGTATCTTTACTCTGTTCCCTCCATATACAAAATACAGCAGGTTATTTGACAAGGCATTCAGCTGTTGTGTGTATGTAGGAGACAGAGACATTTTCCGCCCCTGCCTGCCCTCATTTGTGATGGTGTTATGAAGGGAGCTGTTAGGGGAATGAATCACTGGTTCTAGTAGAGACTATTAACCTGAGGCTTTTTCACATATCCGTAAGGGTAACACAGGTAAGGGTTATTACAGTAGGGCCATCTAGTGTATTTGTGGAACAGAACCAATCCTTGCCAAGCTAGACAAGTTTGCCATAAAGTGCCTGGATTGGTATGGATGGTGAAAGGGCCAGTTGAAAAGTGTAGTCCTTCTAGCCATCAGTGTTCTCCTGGGGATCCATTTGTACAGCATTCAGCTAGCATGACTGGGGGACTGACCAAGAAGACTACAGCTCCAAATACCCAAGGTCACAGCCTGAGGTCCAGGGCAGTCATAGATAACAGAGCTTTTAGTCTTTGTAAGGATCAGATGGTTTCACAGGATCAGAGCAAGTCTAGGGAATGAGGAGTAAAGAGTCTAGGGAGCTGCCTTTGAAGGAGCTGTCTGTGTCTTCTTTCTCCCAGCCAGTAGGAAAAGGCTTGGCTTCTGGGGAGGGCAAACTGTTGGAAATGGTGTGAGGTTTGTTTGCAAAACCAAATACATACTTCAGATAGGAGGAGGCATTTTCAGTGGTTGGATATTCATTGGAAGAGGAACTTCCATTTTGGTTCTGGGCACCCCTGCTTTGCCTTATCAACAGCAGCATTGGCAAGAATAAAATTGACAGTGTCTCCATATTTTGATATGGAAGGAACACCCCATGGAAGCCATGCTCCATCTGGATCTGAGCAAAGACTAAAGTAAGCTGTGGCAATGGAGGATATGTAGACACCTCTCAGCTCAAGCTGGAGCATGGCTTATTCAGAGCTGTGGTCCCAGGCAGCTTTGAAGATCATTTGGGGACATGTTTGGCTCACTAGTCAACATGCTTCTCTCTTCTTTCTTGAATAAACTCCTCTGCTTTCCTGAGCTCAGGCTGCTTTCTCTTTTTTGCTGTTGCTTTCCCTTCTCTCCTTGCTGTTTGTGTCCAATGCTTCTGGGTGTCTAAACCATGTGTTTCTTTTGCTGTCTCTGTTCCATGCTGCAGTTCTTCCCCGTGAGCCCACAGGTAACTGCTTGTCTGCTGTTAAATACTTCTGCTAATGAACTCTCTCTCTCTTTATTTGACTTTGGTGCCAACCAGCTGCTGAACTTTTCCCCTTGTCTTTATTGCACTAAGTACTTTGCGCTTCTCTTGAGCCTTCAAGCCCAGGATCTCAAAGCCCTTTGCAAATGTTAATGAGTGAAGCCTCACGTCATCTCTGTACGGTAGGTGTTGTCCCCTCTGGTACTGATGGGATTGGAGAATCACTGCTACCTTCATCAGATTTAAAGGAGGGGGTGAAAAGAATCCAGAACTCGTGCCGCCCCCTGTCCCCCGGCTTCCTCTCCCTGGTCTGGTGGGACCACAATTTCTTTTCCTGTATTTCATCTGACAATGCTTGCTGATCTCTGAGAAATAGAGAGGTATGGAGAAGCTTTTTTCCTGTCAGTCAAACTTGTTTCCTTCTGCTGCCTGGCTCATTCAGTGACCTCCATCCATCCACAAGAGATTTGTGATTTCCCATATACAGGTTGCGGCATTGTTTCTGAATGAACAGGAGGAGGGGTGGCTGATATGAAAGAAGGTAGCTCTTAGTTATACTTTGGTTGCCAATTGAGATGGGCAAGGAAATACAGGGGAAAAAATGCAAGTGGGTCTTTGGAGCATCAGCCAAATAGATGAAAGGATGAGTTTGCAGACAAGTTTTGATGTGTCAGCAACTTAGGCTCCAGATATCAACCTTTCTGTCTCTGTGTAGTGTTCTTCTTGCCCTGTGAACGCATTGCTAAGATTTAGAAAGACCTCCAGAGTCTTAAAATCATGCTCTCAGTCATCTTGTGCAGCTTCCTTTCAGTTGTTGATACAAGACGCTCGGAGACTGTCACTTCAACCCAGTCTGCTCAGGTCTCTGAATCTATAATGCAGTGCTCCTGGCCAGAGCACTTTGGCCTCTGGTTCCAGAAATGTGAAATCTCTGAGGCATATTAAGTCCTATATTGGTGCAGGCCTGTCCATCCTGACAGTATCCCATTAAATATGGTAGTTGTTGCAGTGAGCTATGTTACAGGCTGACAGATTTGGCCCAACAAGAAACCTTTGCAGTAATTAAGAAATTAAAACTGGGGAGGGGAGGGGGAATAGCATTTAAAGGGCCAGGAGGCTAAAATAAACTCATGCATTCTGGAAACCAGCCCAATCTACACTGGAAGAGAAAAACTTCAAGAAGCTCCTACTGGGCTTTCTGCTGCCCTCAGGAGTGAAGGTGCTAGGAAATGTCAAAGGGTCTGGGTGGCACTGAGGAGGGAGGTATGTTTGCTTCATGGTCTTATCCCACTGCTCCTTCTGTTTAGCTGAGTATGGAGTTGAAGCAAAACCTGAAGGACACCATGACCCAGAAGTACCGGAAGGATGGAGAGGAGAGTGTGACCAGTGCAGTGGACAAACTGCAGCAGGAGGTAGGCCCCCAAGGTCAAGATCAAAGGTCTCTTCCACCCTATCTGTCTGTCAGGCTAGCATGGTTAACGTACACTAGTTTTTGTAGCCAGCTGTGCACTAGGGAGCACTGTGGCCAGCATCCTGTCTAGTCATGCTTGACTCCCCACTCTGAATGACCATGTACCCATTTACAGGTAGGACTACTGAGGATGGTTTTCAGTGTGGGGCTCAAACTCGCATCCCCAGAGCTGTGGCGTTGTTAGTGCTCTGCCACTATGCTCCTTTAGGCCTCCATGAGAGGTAGAAAATTAAGCTAAGGAGGGAGCTATAAAAATGTCATTCTAAGGTGATGAGCTCTTGTCAATGAAAATGTGTTTCCCACTTCCCCCAGTTTCTAACAGGATGGGTAGAGCACTGGGCCAAGGGTATGCCAAGTTGTTTGCAGGCATGTGTAAGGACTTTTGTATGCTGATGTTGGCTACACAATCAATCAGATCGCTGTAAGGGAGATGATGACATTTGCTTCATTCACAGAATTAGCTGATGCTGGCTAATGAACATTGATATCTGCTTCTGCCTCCAAGACGTGAGCAATAGGCTGTGAGAAGGAGAACTGTGTGTAATTAAGCTTCCTGGTACCCCAGAGAGTGAGATATAACAAATGAAAGGCCTTGTTGCTTGTTACTGTGGTACCAGACAGTGCTGAAGGATTGAAATAACTAAGTGATATGAAGGACCTCATTCTTGACAACTTCATAGTCCTTATAAATTATCCTCCAGTCCCCTCAGCTCTTCCTACTCATATACTCATATTAAAACCAAATTTATCTTCACCACTAGAGAAAGCTGGTGTTCCAGTATCTGACACTCGCTTCTCTTCTGGTAAATGCACCTTAGAGATGCAGGAGCACTGAAGTCAGGGAGAAGTCCTGAATCCTGCACTGGCCATTTTCTCATATTCCCCACTTTCCAAAAAGTGTGTGTATTTTAGTGTTTTCACATCTGCTGTTTCCATTTTAGTTTGAAACCCAGGAAACTATAGCTTAGGTCACAAGGAGATAAATGTCCAATTTTCCACCATTGAAGTATTGCTGCTTATAAATTAAAAATGATAACTGGCACATCTTCTGTCACCTCTTCTCTGAGGAGCTCAGCTACATAAAAATGCTGAGTCAGGTATGACCACTGCTGGACTACAATTTTTCCATGTTTTACAGAGCCAAGGAGGGAGACACAGACCTTTATGGTCTGATGGCTTGAGATTTATTCCCATGACAGACTGCTGGCTAGGACCCATACAGACAGTAAGCCCAGTCAGTCAGCCACAACTTCCAGGGCCATGGGCTGTTGCCTGCTGAGTAGTATTATTTTGCAGAAGTCTGTAGTTTGATTCAACTTGATCATCTTCAATGCTTCCCCAATATTGTTAAGCCCAGAAGTAGCTGCAGACATAAATCAACTGCTTCTGGTCCCATATCCATACAGAACAGCAATTGCTACTGATCTCCCCACAGCTAAAAGGAAGATATTGCTGATGTTCAAAAGTCATACTTAAGTACCTTACACATGAGCATGCCACTAATAGAGATGCTAATACAAATGCAGGCAGCTGGAATCACTGTTTGATAACGTACTGGGGAAGGAGTGTGCAGCCAGGAGTTTGGGGTGGAGAAGGTGGATGAGAGAGGAAGGTGCTGTGCATTTGGGTGCAGATTTTGCCTGTGCTTTGTGTATCTGCAGTTCAAGTGCTGTGGAAGCAATAACTATACAGACTGGAGTGACAGCCTCTGGATCAGATCTGCAGAAGCCGGTGGGCGGAAAGTCCCGGACAGCTGCTGTAAGACAATAACAGATGCATGTGGCAAGAGGGACCATCCTTCCAATATCTACAAGGAGGTAAAGAGCAAGCTAACTCTGCAGTTGTAGCATGGCGCTCGTTCTGATGCAAATTACTAGCAAACTCGTAGCTACTTAGGACTGGAACTAAACCTTGCTGAAGTCACTGGGATTTTTTACACTGTACCCTGTTCCCAATCTCAAAATCACCCCTCCAGGGGGGAAAGAGGCAGGGTATAATTAACACTTTTCCACCAGGGGTCAGTACACCTTGATTCCATCAGTAAGGGCTAGGTGTCTGATCCTAGGTCTAATCCAGGGGTGGGCAAAATACAGTCTAATCATAAGTCTAATCCAGGGATGGGCTGTGAGCGGCTGTAGTGCGGGGCGCCGGCCATGGGGCAGGTTGGGGGCCGCTTTTCTCCACACCAGGAAGGAGCCTGGGGAAAAGCTGAGCCGGGGTGGTAGGGGGGGAGGAGCAGCCCCTCCTCTGCCCCGTGGCTGGTGCCCCACACTGCAGGTGCTTGCAGCCCATGAGGGGCTGTCCGGAGCAGGCACAGGCAGCCCTAGGCGGGCTGTGAGCAGTTGCAGCATGGGGTGCCGGCCATGGGGTGGGCACAAGGCTGCTTTCCCCCACTCTGCGCTCAGCACCACCTTGTAACTCGGCCCCACTGCCAGCCTGGGCCCCATGCTGGCTCCAGGCTCGCCCGTTGGGGCTGCGTGTGGTGACAGCAGCTGCAGCCCTGC